CCTTTGTAACTTGATCTGCTATTGACTGTCCCCCTTGCTTACTTTGATTTATTACCATGGAGAATCACCACTCTGCACTACTCATTTGGGCCCTTGGATCCTAGTTTCTTAGGTTCAAAAAAAGTTAGGCGTGAATTAGAAAATCTGAGGTCCCTTCCTGTTCTGAAATGTTGTGATTCCTAAAAAAAAATAAAAGATAACCTTTCTCTCAATTACACTTCAAAGACAGCTAAGTATATCAGAGAGGGTGGGCTTGTCTACTATCTAGCCGTGAGACCCTCTGAGCCCCTTTCTCATGGACAGAGGATGAAAAGGCTTAACCAATGGTGGTATATGTAATAACTTTTTGTGAGAAACTGGGCAAATCAAGCAGGTGATCCAAACCCAGCCCCTTGAGTGCCCTTTTCCGGTCCTAAGCAGTTATGAATTGAATTGTGTCCTTCAGAAAGGTATGCTAAAGTTGTAACTCCCAGCATTTGTGATCTTGTTCATTTTAGAAGAGTGAAGAAATAATCAGTTTCAGTTGCACTTAATTGGTCACACTGTAGTAGGGTGGGTCTGAGTGGTCTTCATAACAGACGCAGAGAGATGAAGAGGGCCATGTGACGGGTATCTACAAGCAAAGGGGAGCCTGGGGCTCCTGGAAGCTCTATTTTCTTAGACTTGTGGAGGGAACACGGCCTAGCTAACATGTTGATTTGGACTTGCATCCTCCAAATTGTGAGATAATAAATTCATGTTTTCACTCAAAACTCACTCATTGCCATTGAGTCAGAACTGACTCACAGCTGAACTCCCAGTGAGTTTTCAGAGGCTGTAAATCACAGAATGGGAGATTTCCCACCTGTTCTCCACAGCAGCTAGTGGATTAAAAAAAATCATCTAAATTAGACTCTCATTCTTCCTCTCAATTAGACTTCAGAAAGAGGTTAGTGTAGTGGAGAGAGTGGACCTGCTAGTCACCTCATCAATGGTGTTTTATTATGGTTGTCCTAGGAAATGAATGCATGAACCGAGATAAAAGGGCAAAATCCAGAAATAGTCACAGATGTTCTTTGTGAAGTATTTTCAAATCTCCATGAGACATCTTAACCCACCATGCTTCCCCCTCAAAATAAGAGAAAAAATTCACATTTGTCTTGAATTGACATTTCAGTGTGCCAGGGAGGTGTATTTCTATAGATTTCCTATTTTAAGAGGAAGGATGCAAGATGATGCCCCCAACTATCCTACAACTCAATTCTCATGTATGTGCCATGTGCAGGAATATTTAAAATATAAACCACCTGATAGTTAAGATCAGAGGCGAGCCAATCGCCAATTTGTCCAATGTCTAAAAATATTTTAAATCTGAGGCACTCAGCATATCCAGAAATTACTGATGGAAGGTCGAATTGGACTTTATCTGTCATAGCTCTATAGACCTCATTTTGTTTCAGGCCCCCAATCTAATGTATATAAGGACACCCAAATCTGGGGTGCAATGGCTGATGCAGACAAAAAACTGACCTCTGCTTTGTTTTCCTTTTTGCTTGAAAGTTATAACTTTTGCACTAATTTCCATAGTTTCCTAAAAATTTAAGTGGTTATGCTCAGCTGAACCCCAGCACACCCAGAGAGAGTCCAACAAATCAGTCTGAAGTGACAACGCCCAGGCAAGTTTGAGCAAATTCAGAGACGGACAACCAATTGTAATTTAGTAAGAAGTCTCTGCTTTTACACTACAAACCTTTCCCCTTGACTCCAATAAACTAAAGCATTCTGTAAATGTCTTGATTGCTCTGCACTACCTTCATTTGCAAACTGTTCTGGCCTTCAATAAACTTCTCTTACTTTAAGAACACTCTTTGTTTTTGTTTTGTGACTCCAGCCAATTGTTTTACAGGAGATGGCACTGCCATCTGCAATGCATTCCACCCTTTATGATTTATGAGTAAATAAAAAATGCAGTCATAGTGGGAAGGAAAAAAGGTTTATTTCACAGTCATTATAAAAGTACATATTTCATAATAGTGACATAAATAGAGTCCTTACTGATGACCAAATCATACAATGAAAACCAACTTAATCACTTATCCATCACAGGATGACAGTTGAGGCATTTCCATCCTTAAACCCAGGCTAACTGAAATCACAGGCACAGTGGACTGATGATAACCAGTCATAGGTCACACAGACAAACACATTTTGTACTTACCAAAGGGACAGTCAGGTTTTCCGTATAAATATAATAAAATAATCAAGAGTTCAACATTTCTTCTCTCGCTCAATTTCATAGATTTGTCAGGGACTCACATACAAAAACAGAGTTGCTCAACCTTCCTCACACCCCCTCACCTCTAACTGGGTTCAGAATACACCTGAGTTCACAGTTCAAGTTACCATTTGTGCTGTGCTCAGTTGGTCAACCAACCATCTGCAGCTCTTCTTGAAGCACGTGAGGAACAGGAAACTTGTTCTCTTGAGCCAGCAGTGACAAGGAAACACTTGGGTTCTCAAGGAAAGTGAAAAAACAAGGAAAAGGTATCAGGGGCTAAGAGGAGTTCACAATACACGGTAAAGAGAGGCACGCCTACTGCAAACTTGTAGAGCAGGACAGCTGCAGCTGGAAGTCATCTTTAACAGCTTCTTCGCTGACTGGAAATCCGATGCTTCGTGTCAGACAGAGAGCGGGGCCTTGTCTAGAGAATTCTTTCCTTTTTTTCTGCTTGCTAAGCTCTGTTCTCAATAGAAAAGTCCTGGAAGCTAGTCTGAAGCCATGCAGAAGAATAACATTGAAGGCTAGGAATAAACCTCTTCCCACCGCGCCTTAGAGCCAAGGTAATCGAGAGAGGGGAGCAGCTCCAGGTCTCGCCAAGGTCGGCCAAGGCTTGAGTATCGCTGGGACTTCAGGGATTAGTCAAATGTCCATTCTCTCCTTGCTTAGTCAGTGACTTGTGGCCACTATTGGCCTAATGAGGAAGTTAGGAAGAAGCACCTCACAGCCATGTGGCAAGGGCTGGCTACAAGCGAGTGGGAATGAAGCCACTTTGCAATAGTCAAGGGTCTTGGCCTGCTTTGAGGCAAACAAGCTGAGACAACAACCCCAGTACAGTCACAGTGGTGGTTTCTGGCCACTCCAGGGGGTCCACAGTGGCAGTGTGCAGTCACCTAAGCATTCATGGCAGGGGTTTCTGATCACCTCTGCATTAGTCAGAAGCTGCAGACTCCGTCCCATCTTGTAACTCTTCTCCCAAATACACCAGCATCGTCCTCCTTTTTCTTGCCCAACATCAAGTGTTCTCCATCCCCACATGGAGAGAACCTCCCTCAGGCTCCAGCTCAATGAGGTCAGACAACAACACAGTCCACAGAACACACAGACAAGGACAACACAGAAACAAAACCAGAGACGCATCTTTGGTTTGATCCTTGGCAAAAGGTGTGAACACAGAACATGGACTAAAAACCCTGTTTGCGGAACATTGTTTCCTCAAAGAGGAAACTCTCCTGTATTTGGAACATGCTGCCCGCCAAGCGAGTCTACTCCCAGTTCAGAGCAAGTGATGGTGCTCTACACCCACACTTGTTTACCGGGCAGCTTGAAAACTGCACTGCATGGAAGAAATGCTGCCTTCTCGCCGTTCAAAGTCAGATTTTCTCTTTTTCTCCATAGTCAATTATAACCATGCTCGACGCCTTCCAAAAGGATCCTGGCTGTCTGGACAGCAGGGGGATGAATCCAGAGCTGCCCATGGTCATGCTCTTCCTGCAGGTCACCACGGTCCAGCAGCCACTGAAAACACCCCCAAGCAAACTGGGATTGGGGGTATCCTCTGGTGAAATTACCAAGTTTGGTGTAACTTCTCTTCATCTCTCCATTCAGGTTTTTAAAAAGCAGGTTATTCTGATGTAGTGACATTATGTAAAGAAAAATCTCTCCAGTGAAGAGAATTCAATCAAATTTCAGCCAAAAAAAATTTTTTTTAAAAAAAAATCCGAACCAAATGGTCAAAATCTTGTTTAGAAATGAGTGTTCCCTTCTGTCCTTTCTTGCACGGGGTCCCCCACTGTTTGAAGCTCAACCCTTGTGCAGCTGTGTGTTCTGCTCAGAGAGGGCAGGGCTGGTGGCAGAGCATTGGGCTCCCTCATCTTCCTCCAAGGTTGCTAAGGTGTGGGTGGGGTCCCAGCCTACAGCCTGAAGGGGTTCCCAGCTGCACAGGAAACCCTGGCTACAAGGACCTTGGCAGGTGAACCAGTTAGAGAAGTTGTTGGTTCTAGTGCTGAGAACAGAATAATCCATCGAGAGGCACACACACTGTGCACAAAGTGAAGAAGGATCTTGTAACAGTCAGTGTAACCTGTGTGGCCCAGATGGATGGCTGCTTCCTGGATTTTACTCAAGCCCAGAAGCAGAAGTAGAATTCTTGCCTTCCATGCAGGAGACTCGGGTTCAATTCCCAGCCAACACACCTAATGACATGCATGTCAGTGGAGGCTTGTGTGTTGTTAAGATGCTGAAAAGGTTTCAGTAGAGCTTCCAGACTAAGAATGACTAGAGAGAAAGGCCTGGCACGCTACTTCCAAACATCAGCCAGTGGAAACCCAGTGAGAGCATCAACTTATCACAGGAATGGTCCAGGACTGTGCTGCATTTCTTCTCATTGTGTGTGGGGTTGGGGTTGCAGCAATCAACAATTCCAACACCCCCTGAGCACAGCAGAGAAAGGTGGGTTGGTGAGTGGACGGGAGGAAGGAGGGTGTGAATAATTGAAATTGGTTGCACCAGTAGCCAGCTTTCTTAGCAGTTAACAGAAACTTTGGGGATCCCTCATGAGGTTAGATTGTACAGGTTTGGGTCAGTGGCTTTCAGCTATTTCAAAGTTGGAGTAGACACGAGCTTAGAGGACATGAAGTTACAAATGATACTTCAGGGAGGCGCTGTGGCGTCAGGCCCTGGGGGACCTGTGGGGCCGTATTCCAACGCCTTCCTCCAATACTAGGAGCACCGCTGGCCCAGGTCAACACTGGCTTTTGACGCCATCAGCCATGTCAAAGGAGAGGCTCACAGGAGTCAGAGGCTGCAGCGGGGGTGTGCTGGCCTCCAGGAGCCTGTCCCCCGAAGGCTGTAGGCTCTGGTGCCGCTTCCTCAGCATCTGCCCGATGCCCATCATAGGAAACCTGCCTCGGCTTTTCACACAATTTGGGCTCCCCAGAGGCTGGCTGGTGCCGTTACCAGGGACTGGGGGTGGGGAGCACAGACCCTCCTCTTTAGGGGGGCTGTTCTTGTCATCGTGAGCAAAGGAGACCAGAGTAGGGTGTGTAGGAGTGTGAACAGGCGACGTGCTTCCAGGTGGCAGGACCAGGGAGAGCGTCCTCTCGCTGGAGTTTCTGCGAGCAAGGTTCACGGGAGAGTTTAAGATCCTGTAGTGAGGAGACGGGGACAGCAGCTCTGTGGGGTCATCGCGATCCACAGATTCGAAGGAGCGCACCATTTCCAGCATCAGGGGGTCCTCCCTGGGGGAGACACCCACGCTTGTGGGCCCTTGCTGATGGGGCTCTGGTTTCTTCATAATTCTGGGGGTCCTGGGAGGCGGGACAGGAATGAACTCCATGGAAGAAGAAGCCACACAACTGGAATCAGAAGCTTTTCGGAAAATACTGCGGCAGCCAAAGGAATCTGTAGTCGAGAAAGCAAAAGAAAACAGTCACATAAACGGTGTATATAATCCTTCTCGCCCGCCTGCTCCGAGCACCAGCTTTTTGGAGACACTGCTTTGCCCCATGAGATGGGTGAACACACAGGCAACAATGATTTTAAGAAGAGTAGAGTTCATGAGGCTGGCACAGGGCTTCGTAGGGTTGCTGTAAGTCACAGCCAACCTGATGCTACCTAACAGCCGTGAGAAAAGGAATCTGTTACAGCCATTCACTGGTAGTATTCCTTACAGCAGCACTAAGAAACCAAGATACCGTTTAATAGCAACTCCCTTTAGTGTTGTTTAAAATTCTGGACCCATCTACAAACCAGCCCTCAGCTCATCCACCCCGAGAGAAGTATTTCCCGCTAAACTTTTGATCTGAACAGCATCTCATCCAATCCTGCGTGGGAGATGAACATTCTTCTTCTATATGTTTAAGGCAATGAGCCAATCTCCAAGGTTTTTCTCTCAAATTGGCACAGACTGGAAACTAGGTTTGCAAACTGCCAGAAATGAAAGGGAAAACCCCTTCACATTTGGAGCTGAGGGAAAGGGAGCCAAGTTCATGTGGAACAAGCTCTGCTTTAGCATCTTTTCTCTGCAGGCCCTGCTTCTGGAGCAAGCTACAACCCATCAGGGTGGTTTCAGAAGCAGCCAGGGCACTGGGAACCCTCCAAGTCATACATGAACCAAGACTGCCGTCTTTGAGTCCATCCTGATACATGGCAATGCCGGGTGAATCAGAGAAGAACTGTGCTCTATAGGGTTTTCAGGAGCTGATTTTTTTTTTAGATTGACAAGTCTGTCTTCTGAGATGCCTCAGGTGTACTTGAACCTCCAACCCTTTCTGATCCCATAACACCATATACCCTGATCTCTGTTGCCCAAGTTCTATGCACTCTGATTCCTATGCCCTCAAATCCCACACACTTAACTCTGCCCTCACAACAGCGAGCATCCTAATCTCTGCTCAAACACTATGATCACTTCCATTTCCCCTCCTTCTCAGCCTTTCTGCGCAGTCAATATCGGACAGGTGGCCTCTCGATGGTTTCTGTCTTTCCCACTGAGCATAAGAACCACCTCTCTCTCTGCCTGGGACCAGGCTGCGGCTCCTTACAAGAGGTCCCAAATTGACGGAGGGCCCATGGGGCACCACAGAGGCAGGCTCACCTTTGTCAGGGAAACCAGGCTTGGGGTTCTTCCGGTCCCGGAGGACTGCTTTGGTGTTCTGGATCTGTGTGATGACGGAGCCGTTGGCTGGCTTCTGTGAGGGCAGGTTCTTGTCCAACTTCTTGGAAAATGGCCAATGAAGGAAATCTCCTCTTTTCTCCTGTTCTTTGGGCTTTTTATCCTTCAAATTGAGGAGAAGAAGAAACCCCCCCCCCAAAAAAAAACCCAGTAAACACTCAGATACCAAGAGAATATACTGTATTTTAGTTAGCCTCTTTCAATCTAGAATGGCCCCTTTTATATTTTCATTCTTAGACTTAAAAAGTTATATGAGACATTTAATATTATTATTATGCCTAGGAGTGATAATATGATGGTGTTAGTGTTGTCAAGTCGACTACATAGACTCACAACAACCCTACGAACAGAACCTCGCACTGTCCTACTCCGTCCTCACCGTCTCCACTATGCTTCAGTCGATTGCTTCAGTCACTGGCTCAATCCATTGTATTGCCTTTTCCAGAATGATGCAATACTATGGTATGAGTATTAAGTCTTTTGGGTAGAACAATAAGAGAATATAGAACATGATTCCTCTTTAAAAAAGTGAACCAAGTGTCTTAGAGAAACTCCAGTGCTTCAAAACCCTACATTCTTGATTGATGAGGCCAAGGACCATTCTGGGCAGCAGGCAGACTGATAGCAGAGAAAAGCCCCCGGAGCTGCACCCTTTCAAGTGCCTCAGCACAGACGAGGTCATCACTGCCGCTATTAGCTGCCGCTCTGACTCACGCAGAGGTATCTGGAACAGCAGCTTCTTGGTCCGGCTCTGTCTTCTCGGCCATTGGTGTATCTGATGCCAGTGGTACAGCTCTTAAGCCAGTTCACCTCACAGACGGCATCCCTTGATTCTCTGACCCTCTACTTCCCCAAATATGGTGTCCTTTTCTAGTGATCAGTCTTTCCCGATGATGTGTCCAGAGTAAGTGAGATGTCAGCTTGTCATCCTTGATTGTAAGGCATTCTGGATTTATTTCTTCTGAGACTGATGTGTTTATTCTCCTGGCAGTTCACTGGTATATTCAATATTCTCTGTCAATACCACAATTCAACTCTTGAAGGTCAGCTATCCCAGAACAGGCTGAACGAGTGAGGGGAAGGCAGCCTGGAACTTGCAGCAATCTGTCTGCATTTGCAGTGCCGTGCCGAGGATCTTTACAGAGGTGGCAGTGCAAAACAGCAGCTTTCATGCTTTAAATCTTTTATTTTAAAAATTTTATTTGCCTTTAAAAATCATATTGCACTTTTAAAATTCAATCTTTCACAGACATTTTGTTTTGGAACATTATAATTGATTAGTAATTAATTAGAATGCTAATCACACTTCTTTTGTTCACCGCCTTTCCCCTCACTAAATTTATCTCTTCATTTTTGCTCCACTCTTTCTTCCTTCTCATCCCTGTTAACCCACCCAGATGGATTCTGTGTGTAAATCTTTCCCTAGCTTTTTTAATAGGAGTGATCTGTAATTGTCCTTTTGTGACTGACTGATTTCAATCAGCATAATTTGTCCTAGATTCATCCATGTTGTGTACTATTTCACAAATTCTTGATCATTTTTTAGTGATTCATAGTACTCCCCTTAACAAATGTAGCACAGTTTCTTTAGCCATTCGTCCGCTGGTGGACAATTAGGTCATTTCCAACTCTTCCAAGAAGACAAGTTTATGTGTAACCATTCCCACTTTAAGATCAATTCTAGTTTGTTCAGTCAAAGACAAGACCACCACAGAGTGGGCAAAAACCCATCCATCACTATCACGGACAGAACTGCTACCTGTTCGGTCTCTTCCTCCCACTCCACTGGAGAGGACTAAAAGCAAGATTTCTCAGAGGAAATAGAAGGGAAGTAAAAAAACCCAACACAGTTGCCCCAAGGTGACAGTACTTCTGGCAGGAGCCAGGAAGAAGGTTACATCAGGAAAAAGCCCCCTCCTCAGGGATGCAGGGGACCCAAACCCCAATCAAGCCCCCAAGACCCCTGGCAGGGCTAAGCTATGACCAGTCTCGTGAGATTGGGAGCCAATAAAGGCAGTGCCCACCTGATGGTCATTATCACTTTTTCTGCTGGCAATGACCCAAAAGGTTTGGCTCTGCCCCAACTTTCCGGGGAGAGGGTGTCTCTCCTTTTCTCTTTAATTCTTTCACACCACCTCGCTCTAGCTCTACCAGCCATGTCCCTGTTGAGTAACCTTAGTAAATCTTCTTCACTTTTTTTAGCTAAAATTACCCCCGTTTACAGTCACTTCAACGCACCCCCTCCCGGGAAAAGTGGTGAAGAGATAACGAGAATTCTAGTTTTCATATGTTTTAATCACCATGAGCAATTCTGGATGAATCACTATCTTTTTTCCCATCCCTTAGTCATTTGAACACTTAGCTATGCACTTAAACCTGGAACGTACTAAGCCACCTTTGATGTAAGGCTTGCTTTTATTGATCACAATCCTTTGTTAGGAGTGGATTTGACTGTAGGATGCATCTTCAACTCTTTAGCCCCTGGAATAAAGCCAGATGCTTTGAGCAGGCTCAATAAAGTTATTGAAATGGGAAGAAATGCCAGTGAAAAACAAACTGAATGAAATTAATGGGTAAGGGCGCACCACTAGAAGGTCTCTTCCTGACTCTGATGTTTATGGTTAAAGAGAGGAACCACATTTTTTACCTTACTCTGGGTGAGAGGAAAAAAAGAGAAATTTTCACAATTTTCCCTTAAACTTTAAAAGCATTTACAATTCAAGAGAGTTCATCTATTTTTCATTTAGGTGGTTGAAAAGCTTCAAGCTTCTCAAGGAAACATCCTCTTGTCCTTATAGAGCCTTTTGAAAGCCTTTATTGAATTAGCGTTTATTTTGCCTAGGTCTTGAGGTGAAAGGATGACAGGGGTAAATGGGAAGAGGGGTGCCAAGCCCTCCAGAGCTCACTGGAAGGGACAAGACCCTGAAGAGTCTTGGCTGAGGTACTCTGTCCTCAGTAGAGGTGTGAGGCAAGAAGAAGAGAGAGAAGCTTCTGGAAACAACACCCTTGGCATTTAAACAGCTGCTCAATTTGAAACTCAACTCCTGAGACAATATTCAAGATGGTCTGGGGGAATGTGTGTGGTCCACATTATTATTCAGGATGCTTGTGAAAGAGGCCATGTGTCCCAGGCTGTTGTCTGGGATGCTGCAGGAGAAGCTGTGTGGTCTAAGTGGTTATCTGGATGTGGAGGAGGCCCTGGGTTCCAGGTTTCTCTAGGAGATACTATGGGGCTATGGAGGGAGAACTGGTGGCCTAGTGGCAGGAAGCAGCGCTGTAATCCCAAAGCACATGGTTCGAATCCACCAGTTACTCAGAGGGGAATCTCCTCCCACTCGAGTAACTGCCTCTGAAAACCCCCCCAGAGGGTCAGCTATGGGGCAGCTTGGACTCAATGGTACACAAGAACAACAATGGAGCTGTGGAGTCAGAACCTAGCCACAGCTGACTATCCAGAGCAGATTGCCCATCTTCCCTCCAACTCCCCAGGAGGCTGCCTGGAGCTGCTGCTGGATTCAAACCACCAGGAAGGTGTGACCTTTGAATGAGCAGCACAGCTTCCTACAGCCTAAACCCCCAGAGTTCTCTTAAAAACAGCTGCCTTACTGAGTGCATCTGGAGTGACAGGCATCACACTAAGTGTATGCCCAGCTGGGTGGTAATCACTGTTAGCCCTTTTATTAGAGAAAGAAACAGCCTGCAGTGGTTAAGTAATTTACACTGGAGCCCAGGCAAAGCTCTCATCAGACACCTGAAGGTGGTGTTCTTAATCTTTTACTCAATACTGCATTCTCAAAACCAGGGGCCCAGGCCATGCTCACGGTGGCACAAAAGAAATGCTAAGACACAGTGGTCAAGGCAGAGGCAGTAAGGACAGTGTATTCCAAGGGCTCCTGAGAAAATATTCAAGACACTGTGAGGGAAGCTGTGTGGGCCAGGTCCTGGATTTCTTATCTGCGATGTTATGGAAAAGGTCATGATCAAGGCCAGCAGAGGACAATCACAATCACCTCCTTCCTCTGCCACCGTGACACTCAGTCTGTCTTCTCAAAGGCAAAGAACAGGCTTTTCCATCTAACCCGCCAGCTGACCTTTCTGGGTTAGTCTGGCAGAATGTCTTCCTCTTGCTCAGTTCTGTATCTATTTCCATATAAAACTTTTCTTTGTGTATATCTTAAACAGGAAAAGAAACTAAGTCACTTTTGTCATAACTTCAAAGACAATATTGAGAAGGAAAGACAGCATTGCAGTTCTTTTTTTTTTTTAAGACTGTTTTCTGAGCAATGACGAAACCTTGGTGACCTTGACTCCTTCACTCAAGAGGGCTGCCAAATGGCATATAGTTTCATTTCTCTCCTTCCAGGACTCTCTTGGGCTCTCAAAGGCTAAAGGATCAAGATGCAAAATTTCTGGGGCCAATGTGACTCCTCAGATAGTGTTTACTCAAAATGTGCTCTATGTGTGAGAGTTTTCTGTGGAAAGAGGGCAGGGCTGTGCTGGAAATCTCTGCTCTAACTGACAAAGGGCAGCAACAAGCTGAAATGAGCTTTGGAGTGGGAAAAGGGGAAATGAAAACTCTGGTAAGACCACCCCGTGGCACCCAGTTCCAGGATGCTGTGTGCTACTGCTCCCTCCACAGCCTGCCAGGATGACACCTACAGCCAAACAGATCAGGTGATTTCCTAGCAACTTGTTTCTAAGGTGATGTCAAGAATTCACCACTCAACTGACCCCTGCAGAGACCATCACCGGATCAGTCCACGTGAGCAAGGCCCAGAAAGCTTGTCTGTTTGCAGTCAGTCAATCTCACTGCCCTCATTTGACAAGATGTGCAAACCTGTCATCCAAACTACACCTTTTCATTTGCCTGGCCTATTTTCTCCAAAAAAGAAATGTCCTGAGAAGGAAGATGCTAAATTGCCTTATGTAATAGAAAAAGATCTTCAGAGGGACTAATTACCTTTCCCTTTCTAGAGGCTTCCTCCCAGGGCTTTACCCAGAGGTGGGCTGCCTGCAGGACTCTTAAGTTCCTGACTCTGACAACTGTACTCCCAGGCAGTGCTTCCCATCCTGCCCCCGTGGGCCTCTGAGGGCAGATCACAGAATTCAAGTTCTCTGTTTGAAGAACCTCTTGTTTGCACACTTAAGACACACTCCCACACTCTTAAAGCAGATCAGAGGAGGGGATCACAAGAGGCCCCAGTTGCAAACCACACATAAAACAAGTCTTCATTTTCTGTAAGCCATTTCCTACCCGCTGTGGACTGGCACAAACATTTGGAAATGCAAACTTCAAAGCTCTGAAAATGTGGCTCCATAAAGGATTATCTACCCAGGATTCTTCTAAAGCTATGCATCATTTTGACTAAAGAGAAGGAAGAGCCAGTGGGTAACTTCTATAGTCTGAACTGTGCCTCTTATAAGATGTATTGAAGCCCTCACCCCTGGCATCTGTGAAGATGACTGTTTGAAAAGAGTCTTTGAAGATGCTCTCAGTTAACATTTGATAGGTCCTGATCAACACCTTTGATACTAGCATTCAGGAGATCAGGAGAGGTACTGCACTGGGCAAGTCCACTGTTAGGGACCTCTCCAACATACTGAAGAGCAATGATGTCAGATTGAAGACTAAGGTGTGCCTGATTCAGGCCTAGTCTTTCCAATCACTTGCGTTGCATTTGAGAGCTGGACAGCGAATAAGTATGACAGAAGAAGAACTGATGCCTTTGAGTTGTGCTGGAAAAGAGAACAGAATATCCCATAAACGGGGAAAAAACAAAAAAACCCTGGTATGCCTTGAAAAATAGTGGACCCAGAATCCTCCATGGAGGTTAGGATAGCAAAGTTTTGTCTCATACTCTGAGCATGTTTCAAGGAGAAGCTATTCTTTGGAAAGAGACTCATGCTTGGAAAGGTGGAGGGTCAGGGAAGAGATATAGACCTTCATTGAGATGGATTGACAGTGATTGCAGCAAAGGGCTCAAGCATATCAGGGATGATGAGGATGGCACAGGATAGGACAGTGTTCAGGTCTGTTTTTCATAGGGATGCTGTGATTTGTATTCTACTTGACAGCACCTAAACCCAACAACAGCAAATTCCACGTGAACAGTATCCTTAAAGGAGGGCCACAAAGTGATGGAGCAGACACAATTAGAAGCCAAAGAATGCCAAGGTTTGTGGGAGCTTCTAGAAAGCAGGGATGAGGCATAGAATAGTTTGTCTCACAAGTAATCAACACAGCCTAGACCCAGGTTTGGGCTGCTAGCCCCTAGAATGGTCAGGCAGTAATTCCTCTTTTGAAAGTCACCAACTCTGAAGAATTACCACAGCCAGGAGAGATGAAGACAGTAATGTTCCACAGGACTTCCAGAGGGAAGTGTCTGCAGCTTCCAGAAGCCTGGGCCTCATCTTCTAGGGTCTGTGTCAGGGGGTGCCAGTAGCTGTACAAGAGTAACTCCAGGCTCCTCTGTCCCCAGTAGCTGCACCTTCCATTTCATCCTCTTTCACCTGGTGATCGTCATGACTGACACTAGCCATGCTTGCAGTTTAAAAGCTCACTGTGGTTGAGTAGGAGCCAACTCATAGCTGACCCTCCAGTGGGTTTTCTAAGGTTGTTTTCACATGAGGGGAGATTGTCCTCCTTTTCTCGTCGAGCCTCTGGTAGATTTGAACTGCCTGACAGACACCAGTTTGTGTTAGCAGTGTAACTCCACACTCATTATGCCCCCAGAGCTCCCTGGCCTTGCAGTTCGGCAGTCTAAAAATCTGGAGCCCATCCTTAGCTCTTTGAGAAATGAATTGGGGATTCTGGTCTTTTGAGTATAGAATGGAGCCTATACATCACCTGCCTCAACTGAGCAGCAAATGCTTCCACAGAACAAGAACAGATGCTGCAGGCCCTGCTGTCTCCCAGGCTGCAGAAAAAGCTGCAGCCATGAACCATGTCCATCCCCATGTCCCTCGCTGCACTGACCTTCCAACTATAGGTGATTCTGGCAGCAGGGGTTGTCCCCAGGGGGCCTGAAGCCTTCAGTTTTTCTCTTTGAGTGACTATGTCAAGTACAGTGGATTTTTCTGGAGTCCCATGTCTCTTGATGAATGAGCTCTCACCTGACCATTTAGCACAGAGGGGACCCACGTACTGATCTTGCATGTCTGGACAGGCTCAGAGGCCCAACAAATGTTTGTTACTGGATTTTGAGTCTATTCTGTTCAGTATAAACAGAAAGAAGCCACAGAAGTCTGATTATGCAGCAGGGGAAAAAACCAACTCAAGTTAAGTGTGAGTTGGGAAAGGAGGTCTGATTCATAAATGAGGCCACTGGAATCTCAGGTAGTAAACCCTGTTTCTCATGCAGATAGAAACACAAATGTATAGGCAGGTTGTGTGGTTCTAACAAAGCAAGCCAGATACTTAAACGTAGAAAGCACCAGTTGAAGGAAAGCACTTGGCCAATCTACTCCCGTGCAGGAGTCTGCAGATTCTGCTTCCAGGTAAGGGAGGGGGCAGGGAAAAGCCTGAGCTGAGTTTGTCCAACACAGCTATGACTACCCTTGTTCTTACCTGCACAGTATAGAACTCAAGGTCTCTCGTCCAGGTGTCCAGGGAGGCCTGCAAAAAGCAGAATTTTTCAACAATTCAGGAAGCTGCATCTGCTGTTTATTTCCTAAACGCCACCCGCTATGTGTTCCTCGTCAGCTTTGGTCACAATTTGTTTTTCAATGTTTATAAAAAAAGAAATCAAACTCCTCAAAAGTCATGGAAACAGTTAGCAGATGTGATGTCATGTGTTGAAGAGTCTTTCTAGGTAAACTTTTGACTGCTGTTTGAGATTGTTATAGTAAGATTGTTACAGACTGACTTGTATTCTCGCCTAAGCTATGCTGACATCCTAAGTCCTTTGCCCATGCATGTTACCTGGTTTGGAAACAGAGTCTTTGAAGATATTATCAGTTAGATGAATATGAGGTCATAAAGAAGTGGGACGGGTCCTAACCCTATCTGATGACTGAGGTCCTTCTAAAATGGAAAAAAGATGGAGAACAATGAAGGTCTCCATGTAAAGAGGCACCTTCAGAGGAAGGAACACCCAGTGCTACTATGACAACTGAGGGGAGACATAGATTCTTTCTGAGTCTCAGAGGGACTTTCAGCTTCCAGGAAATCTGTGAAACAAGAAATGTTGGCAAGATCTCTTAAAAATGTTAAAGAGCAATGAGGTCACTTTAAGAATTAAGAGGCACCTAGTCCAAGCCTTGGCATTTCCAACCACTTCATATGTATGTGAAAGCTGGACAGGGAATGAAGAAGACTTAAGGGGAACTGATGCCTTTGAATTGGATGCACCATGGTCTTCCAGAAGAACCAACAAATTGCTCTTGGAAGATAATCAGGACGCTCCTAAGAAGTGAGAATGGTGAAATGTGATCTCACACACTTTAAACATATTATAAAGGGGGAGGGAGACTAGGAAAGGTGAAGTGTCAATGAAGCGAGAAGACCATGATGAGATAGACTGATATTCTGGCAGTCACAGTGGGCTCAATTCTGTCAGAGACGTTGAGGATGGCACAAGATAGGCCCAGATTCAGACCTGCTTCACAGGGTTGCTATGGAGTCACAGTCAACTTGACGGCACATCCTAACAACAGTTCCTAGAGGAGGGAGTGCTGGTGGGGTAGTCCATAAGAAGCTGCACTGCAAACCCAAAGGCAGAACCCCTCGGAGGTTTGAATGTCTGGGGAAGAAAGATGGGACATTCTCCTCCACACCATTTATAGCCTCTGAAAAGCTGCCGAGAGGGTCAGTTCTGACTTGATGGCAATGAGTTTCTGAGAATCCTCCAAGAAAGTCATCATGCTTGGAAAAACAGTCATCAAAAAAGAAAAAGACCTTCACTAAGACACATTAGCATAGTGGCAGCAACAGTGGGATCAAATGTAGCAACAGCTGTGAGGACGGTGCAGCACCATGCGGTGTTTCATTCGTTTGTCCACTATGAACTGGAGACAATTAGATGGTACACAACAAAGTCCATCGCCTGTGTAGATTGGTTGGCTATGGCAGGAATCTAACACAAATGTTTTCAATTGAAGTTTGAGACAAAGTAGAGTGCACTCATGATGCATTTGTCATGAGAACATAATAAGCAGTCCGGTGTGTTTTCACTGACAGCACAACCCATAGAAACAGCGCTCACACTAAGTTACGGAGCCCCGCCTCCCTGCCCACCTTTCCCTGCCCTGTAACTACCATTCTGAGTTCTAAAATCACAGATTAGCCCGGCCTGATTTCAAACGTCATTTAAAGTTGTCTAGATTCTGCAATAAGACACAAAGTGAACGTTTTTAGCTATTAAATGTATAGTCCCCCTCCCTTCCTGTCATGCTCTGCACAGTAATATTACTTTGCCACTGTAGAGAATATCTCCTAGCTCTATTTTACCTTCCCCTCCTCTATACATCAATTTTATTTTTAAAGGTCTTTAATAAAAAACCCAAACCCAAACCCAACTTCTGGCCTCATGGCTTCAATTAAAAAAGCAGTTGCCTCAAGATGACTCCGACTCCTAGTAGCCGCCCTGTGTCCATCTAGCACTGTGCTGCACAAAGTTTTCTGTGGTGACTTCTTCCAGAGGCAGATCACCAGGTCTTTCTCCTGAGGTACCTCTGGGGGAACTTGAACTTCCAGTTTTTCAGTCAACATGGGAATGTGTTACCAGTTGACACCAGCAAGGGATAGCGGCTTTAACTAAGCCAGTTTGGAAACAGTGGGCACCCGACATGGATCCCTGAAGTCTTTACAAGCAGAAGAGGCCCTTTACTTAGCTCAGATATTTAGGTGTGCTCAGAAGAGGTCTGTGCCCCACTTTCGCAGACACTCTGCTGTGTGCAGGAAGAAGAGGTCGAGAAAATGATAAAGCTGTAAAATCTCAGCACTCTAATCCCCAGAGGGGAGGGTTTTTTCCACCTCCCACGATCTAATTCAGCTCTTTTGTCTACGAGGGGAAAAAAGAGCTGGACTCAGGAAGGACAAAGAGGCCATTGCTTGGACTCAGGGCATGGCCACAGCTTCCTGACCTCCTGGGAGACACGGGCCCTGAGCTGCTCCACGGACAGATCAGTGACAACCTGAAACGCCTATTCATCACTCTGTTGTCCCACTCATCACCCCCCCCCCCAGTTCACCCTCTGTCCCCGTGCCCGCTGCGTCTCCTCCAGGACCAGTTAGTGACAACCACAAAGCCAGAGGCCCTGAGTGGGTGTCACTTGTTAAGCCAGTGCTCTTTCCAACCTTCCCAGCACGTTTTCTAACTGGCTCCGTTTCACTTTCTAGGTTCCAAAGGAGACACGTTGAATGATCCAGTCACAGCCTGTAATTTAATTAGCAGAAGTATTGCTGCAGTTTGGTGAAAACAAATGGATCACAGAAAATTGAAATCTTGTTTTCCCATTAGTGTTCCCATTTAAACCCTAACCATTAAATATTTCAACAAATGTTTGAAGCTCGCACCATGTGTTTTTCTGGCCAAGTGAAATAATCATCAGAGAGAAATAATCTGGATGGGGCGGGGGGAAATAGTGCCCAAAATCCAGTTCCAATGCTTTCTGACACACACCACAGAGATCCAGCACAAGGGCAGCTGTGGATACAGATGACAGCAAAGGGTTTTTTAGAAGTCACTTAGGACAGACACAGGGGCACCTACCCAATCTCTGTGTGCACTGCTGGGGTCCTAAGGAGGGAATAAAGAAATAAAATGACATAGAGCACTGAGAAAATCTGCTGCAAGAGACCTCTTGAAAAATGCTCGAAAGCAAAGATGTCACTTGATGACGAAGGTCACCTCTAGAGGTGAAGTGTGTAGTGTGTTGCGGTGTGACCATTAGCAGTGCTCATGCACCAGCTGCGCCCAGGGAGAAGGATGGACAGTCTCCACCTGTGAAGATTTAGGGCCTCAGGAAGGGCTGCATTCGGTTTAATGATACTTGGTTTGGCTTCTTTGGTTTTTTTATCCAAGTCATGATCTTTTCAATCAACACCCATACAAGAGAAAGCTGGGCAATGAAGAAGAAAGCTACACCATGGAACAAATCAGTCTTAGGAAAATTGCAAGCATGCTCTCCTGGTTTCTAGTAACCCCTCACATTCCTGGGCTTCCAGCCACAGCTTCACACGGTGTCCTGACTCTACCTCCCATTCTCTCTCCATTCGTCTCCTTTTTCACAAGCATACTGCTCATACGAGATTAGGACTCTCTTGGTGTGTTAATCTATCTGATAACATTGTCAAAGACTCCATTTCCAAATAAAGTCATGTTTAGGTCCTGGGTATTAGAATTTCAACACCTCTTTTGAGGGGATAGAAGTCAACACCAGGAAGAGCAGATTAGAAAAGCTGGCTTTCACCCAACATTTTCCCCACCCTTCTTATTTTTTCTCAAGAAACCAGTTACATTCCTTTAAATTTTCATGAATTTTTTACCTCATAGAGATCATAAAGTTTTTCCAAGCGTGGGTGCTCACTGGAATTACTCAAAGAGCTTTAAAGAATGCTGATGCACCAGTCCTGTTCGCTCACATTTGGTTCGGACTAAGCATCCAGATGTTCCATGCCTCTGAGCAGTTCTAACAAGGGCTCAGAGTTGAGAACCACAGTTTGAAGCCTAAGATGACTCTGCTCTAAATAATTTTCTAAAAGCTCAGTTAAGTGAGTGTGATGATTAATCTTACGTGTCAACTTTGCTAGGTTGTGGGGTTCAAAGGTATTTGGTCGCACACTGGTCTAGAAGCTACCATAAAGTAGTTACAAGTGATTAGATCAGTTGGCTTCGGTAATGCAGATCGCCTTCCATAACGTAACCCAATATACTTCTTGTTGGTAGGTGCTATGAAACTGACCAAGACTAAAAGAAACTCTACAAACAACAGACCTGAACCATGTCTTTTCCTGCACCACCCACATGATATCAACCATGCTCAAGCCCATTGCTGCAGTCACTGTGCCACTACATCTCATTAACGGTCTTCCTCTCCCTGTCAATCCTTCTCCTTCAGGGTCTTCCTCTCCTTCTCTGATCCTCTACTATCCCCAACACAATGTCTTTTTCCAAGGACTGGTGTCTTCTGATAATATGCCCAAAACCTATGAGATGAAGTTTCACCATCCATGCCTCTACCAATGTAACTGCCTAACAAGTAATGTAAGTATAAAGACCACTTGTGCTATCTATTATAATGTATTCAAAACACTGGTTGAGTTTCTGCTGGTGTAGAATGAAGCCTGAACCTAAGCATGTCTCATGTTATTGAAAGACCAAAGGTACAAATACACAAGTGCAGACAGATGCCACATCAGGATGCTCTACAGAGAAATGTCTAGGATCACCGGAAGGCACCGGAAGCCAGGAGAAAGGCTCACAGGAGGAATCAATGTGACTGACTTCCCAACCTGGACTTGTGGTTTCTAGAACTAGCTGAAAAGAAATTTCTGTTCTTTAAAGCCACTCACTTTTAGAATTTCTGTTACAGAAGTCTGCAGAAACTAAGGCACTACTTGTCTTTTGCTACTGTTAAGTTCCACAAGAAATTATTTCCTTTCCATTCTCCTTGACCGTAGAAATATCACCACCTACCTCATAGGGCTCCTTGGTGGACCTGCACTTTTCTATCTGATAGAGCTGGGTCTTGTAGCAGACACTGTCCTGGAGGTCATATTTCTGCCAGAGAAGAAGAAGAATAAAAAAGGAACAACAAAAACATGGTTTAACATTTAAAAAGTGGAAATAGTCATAATGCCATCATTAATTTTACTTTTATATTATTTTTTGATATTTTAATGAAAGTTTACAGAAAACTTGTACTTCCATTCATTCATTGTTGCACATTTTCCTCCCTAACAATTCCACCCCCAAGTTTGCTTTTCTCTTTAAAATGATTCTTCCATTGTTACACAATTTCCTCCCTCTCTCTGGCCCCCTAGTCCACTTTGCTATGCAGCTCTTATTCTGGACTGTTGTCATGCAAATAATATCTAATCATATATTTCTTTCAGACAGCTCTTTCCTTATCTATTTAAATGCAGTGTTCACTATTTATCCTATTTTCTTAGCTTCCCCCCAACCCCCATGTGAGTTCTGTTTTACAACAGGAGCACTATGCAATCAGTATTTGTCCTTTCATGACTGAGATATTTCACTCAGCATAATGTCCTCCAGGGTTCACCCATTTTGTATAACATTTTATGAGTTCCTTGTTTTTCAGTGTTGTGTAGTATTCCATTGTGTGAATATACCACAACTTCTGTAGCCATTCGTTTGTTGCTGGGAACTTGGGTTGTTTCCTCTCGTTGCTATTGTGAACAATGGAGCAATAAACATGGGTGTGCACCATCATTAATTTTAAACCAGAAGCCATGTGATTGGCTGAGAAAGGACCTAAATGGTTAGCAAACCCATTAACTGCAATGCAAAATCTCATCCCTAGAAGGCCTGTAGGTTGAACACAGAGACCTTGGCTCAGTGTCAGGCAAATTACCTCTGCTATTGCCTCTGCTGAGGAAGAGCTATGTGACCCTGGATAAGCCAATGCTCCTAACTGAATCTCAGTCCTTTCATCTGTGCAATGGGGACACTGCTAAGACATGAAAGCAGAAACCACTGTAAGATAAACAGGCTGGCCAAGTTTTTAGTGAACAACTAAATAGGATAAATATCTTATCTGGCTATTTACAATACCCTTAGCCAAAAAAAGACCCAAGAGTAATAATCACAACTATAATTTTAAGATAGAAGATTGTATCTGAGATGCTGTCAGTTCAATTCTGTGTGAAGACATGCAAAATTAAATGGCTGATTAGAATTAAGTTATCACCCAACAAACATTGCTGTTGTAGGCTTGCTAAACTGAAGCACATTCTTGGCTTTAGGAAGAAACCAGAATTCAAGAGAAGAGGACAGAATATTAAGGTATAACACTGTACTTTTTAAAATTCACTAGTTTGGGCTTCAGAATTATACATAGGTTGCTGGCAACCAGCTGGTGAGATTAATAACTAGGACACTGCACATGGTGCAATTCAATTAGCCATGTCTGGAAACCACTGAAGAGACCAACTGCAATTGTCGGTGGGGGTTAAGTGACTCCAGTTAAAAACAGCCCCTCACCTCGATGCTGACTTTCAGACAAGACTGTTGTAGTTGTTAGCTGCCATTACGTTGTCTTCCAACCCATGGTGGGCACAAGCACAGTGGGGCAGACCACTACCTTAACCCCTGTATCAGCCTATGATTAGCTGTGAATCAGACCATGGTGGTTTTCACCAGCTGATTTCAGAAATACATTGCCAAGTCTTTCTTCCTATTCTGCCTTAGTTTGGTAGCTCTGCTGAAACTGGTTTGGCAGCACAACAATGCACAAGCTACAAGCTTCCACTGACAGATGGGTGGGAACTGCATAAAAGTGTACCAGCTGGGATTCAAATTCAAGTCTCCTGCATGGAGGGCACTGAACCCTCGTGGTCAAATGAACAAGGCATGTCCTATGATTAAAGGTGAAATGTGAAACAGTTATAAAAATTTTAAAACCTTCTCCAGCAGGGCTACATCAGCAGACTTGCAGAGAATGCTCTTGGTAGAGAAAGTATGCTCAGTTTTACAACAGTGCAACCCTGAAGCTGGAGAAAGCAGTAGGAAAGAACCAATATTAGCTACGAAAGTCTGTCAATTTTTCTGACTGAGGCGCATATAAACGGCTTGGGGCAAAACAATGGAGGTGAGCAAGGTGGCAGGGCACCACTGTCCACCCCACAATGCAGCTCTTCCAACTGTATCTCATATGGCACAAGACACTGAGACCTTCCCACTCACAGACTGAGTGAAAATGCCTAGGTCAGGCTGTTTGTTTGTTATGTGTTATTGTATGGGAACCAACTCATAGTTGACCTTCCAGCAGGTTTTCATAGGCTTAAAACCACACAGGAGAAAAGCGACCGCCACCTTCTCACGAAGCAACTGAAAGACCTGACCTGTGTCCTTTACGTTGGCAGTGATGCTCCCTACCCACTAGGCCACCAGTGCTCCCAAGCAGGTCAAACTATTGTTGTTATGTACTTTCGAGTCAGAACCGACCCATAACTGGCCATTCAGTAGGTTTTCAGAGGCAGTTATTTGCATGGGAGGAGACTGCTCATCTCTCTCCTGTGGAGCAGCTGGAGGATTTGAACCACGTATCTTTGGGTTGGAGTGCAGCTCCTTACCACTAGGACACCAGAAACCCCTAGTGGGTTAAACTGTTGTTATTTGGTGTTGACTCAGAAACAACTCATAGCTCTCCCTCTGGTGGGTTTTCAGAGGCAACAAATGGCCTGGAGGGAGACTGCCCATTCTCCTCCCATGGAGCAGCTGGTGGATTTGAGCCATGTGCCTTTGGGATTGCAGCCCAGCTTCTTACCACTAGGCCATGAGAGCTCTAGTTACAATCAAATAAATAAAGGAATGAATAAACCAAACCTACTGCTGTTTACTTGAGTTTGGACGCACAGAGACCTTTTAAGACTGGCTAGAACTGACAACTAACTTACAGGATTTCCAAGGCTGTATGCAATCTTTACAGAAAGAGAGGGGCTCTCATGATAGAGAAGGGTAAATGGTGGGCTGCTACCTGGAAGACATGCAGTGGGAGCCCACCATTTTCCACAGGTGAGATGGGCAGCTTTCTACCATAAAGCCTTGGAAAAAACCCTGGTCACCATGAACCAGAGCAGCCTTGGTAGCAATGGTTTCAACCTTTACAGAAGCAGGCTGCCACATCTTTCTCCCACAGAGCAGCTTGGTGGGTTCAAAGCCCTGACTTTTTTGTTAGCAGCCAAGCACCATCAGAGCTTTCTGGATAAGAAGAATATGTAAACGGAGCCTTTCCTGTGAGCTTGTGCTGGAGATGAATGCCCAACCAGTTGCTCCAAGTCCTACAGCCCTCAGTTAACTAGTTACGGCTGAACTAAGCCTGATTCATGGGTCCCGTGTGTCAGAGGAGAACTGTGTCCAAAAGGTTTTCTTTATATTTCCCGCCCCCCAAACTATTTTATTATGCTTTAGACAAAAGATTACACAATCAACTAGGTTCTCATTTGACAATTTCTGTACAAGTTTTTCAATAATATTGCTTATACTGTTTATAATAAGTCATCACTCTCTTTAATGGCCTTCGAGTTGTTCCATTTTCAGCGCTCTAGTTTCCCTACACATTAATTTCTCATTTTTACTTTTGGGTAATTGCTGACCTTAAGGTCTCAGATACATCACTTTTTTAAGGAGACCAGTAACTCACAGAAGTAAGCTGAGGTCTGTCCAGTGTTTTTCTCCTGTTCTGTTCAGGTCCATCTAAATGACTCCATCTAGTATGGATTTGAATGGTGGACAGTGGTAATCAGGTACTATTTGGTTCTTTTAGGGTTTAGGTAGATGAGGCATAGTGTTTTCAATGGCTGATTATCAGAAGTAGATCTCCAGGCCTTTCTTCCACAACTCCTCTAGGTGAATTCAAATTTCCAACTTCTAGGTTAGCAGCCAAGCAAGTTAATGGTTTGTATCACCCTGGGACTCCTTTATGGTCACAGACATCCCCAGTGCCTACAGCAGGGAGAACCTAAGGAACTCAGAAGTAGCAAAACAAAAAAGGTAGCAGAAAAGCTGAAGGGAAAAGAGCTTGAACCCTTCACAATTCTACCCTGGGCTTAAGTCTATGGGAGACTATTTGAAAAAAACACCTCAGATAAAAGATGTTACCCAAGAAGTGGGTTTCACTACTATTTTATCCCACACTCAGAAAGTGCAGCCTCACAGAAGTCTAAATTAACAGCTCAGAATCAAGTGTCAGCAACTGAGAAACACTTTGAGTGGGAAAAACATTCTGCAACAGAGTACAGAAAAGCTCTAAGAGGGCCCGCTTACCCCAGACAGGTAGCGCTCCAGCTTCTTGTTCAAGAGGAAGTAGATGGCAAGGATGTGGCAGGCACGGTTGGAGAGCACAGTGTTGATCACATCACTGTTCTTGAAGCCCAGCTTCTCAGTCATGTGCAGCACCACGCTTGGGCTTAGGTCCTCCAGGTGGATCCTGCACGGGGCAAGGTGGGCGGTCACGGCTCTGCCCTCACAGAGAGGCCAAGGGCCTTAGTAACAGGAACAAATACGGCAGCCTGCACCAGCCTCTGAGCAGAATCAGGTCCACCACCCATCCATCCATCCATCCATCCATCCATCCACCCACCCACTCATCCATTTGACTTTTTGTTATGAAAAATTCCTCAAAAAAGTGGAGGGAACAATAAGCATCATGAAAAACCATCACCTGGATTTGCTGTTTTTAAGTACCATAGAGTTGGAACTGACCCTCCAGTGGGTTTTCAGAGGCAGTAAACCACACAGGAGGAGGCTGTCCATCTTTCTCCTGTAAGAGCAGCTGATGAATTTGAACTACATGCCTTTGGGATTGCAGTGCAGCTTCTTATCACTAGGCCACTGGAGTCTCCTCAACTGGATTTAGCAATTGTGAATATTTTGCCACTACCACTGTCAGCCAGTTTCTTGTACGGTGGTGGCTTATATGTTGGTGTGATGCTGGAACTTATACCATTGTATTTCAAATACCAGCAGGGTCACCCATGGTAGATGATTTTAAGTAGAGCTTTCCGGACTAAGAAAGGCTTGGCAAGCTACTTCTGAAAGCAGCCAATGGAATTCCTATGGGCAATAACTACTCTCCGATTTGCCTGCTATGGATACATAATCAGGAGCAACCAGTTACTAGGAGAGGGCTTTGTGTTTTATGACAATACGGGCCTCAACAAGCCAGGGAGACCTTCAGTGAGACAGACCAGCCCAGCAGCCACACGATGGGCTCAAACACGCGGGCACCAGTGAGGATGGCACAGGACCCAGGCCAGGCAGTGCTTCATGCTGCTGCGGTCAGTCAGAGGCAACTCGATGTCAGCCTCTGGGCCTGTGTAACATTTTGTTATAACTGCTTCATGTTTTCCTTTTTTTGCTGAAGGGATTTAAATTACAGCTATCACGACACCTCTCTCTTAAACACTTTCGTGGGCATCTTTAAAGACTAAACATGTCTCCTACTGAACCCCGGTACCGTCAGCACATCCACCAAAATCTTATTAACCCTTTTAAGCTTGTAGTTCTTCATTTGATTCTCACTCAGAGCAACCCTATGGAATAAAGTAGAACTGCCCCATAGGGTTTCCAAGGCTGCATCTATCTGCTTTATGACACAGACTGTACCAGCTTCCTCCTGAAAAGCAGCTGGTTGGTTTTAACTGCTCATATTTTGGTTAGCATCTGGATGTTTAACCAATAACCAACCTGAAGCCTACTGCCACTGAGTTGAGTGCAACTTATCTCGACCTTTCAGCAGGTATTGAAGGCTGTGAATCTTTACCAGGGGACTGCCTGTCTCCTTTCCTCAGAGCAGCCGGTGGATTCAAACTGCAGAACTTTCGGTTAGCAGCAGACTAATGCTCCTTAATAATCTCCTGATTATCACTTAATATCCTGACTATAAGCCTATTTCCCCAATTTCTTTACAATTAAATATTCTTCACCCCAAATGTAGGACTTGGCAAAAAATAAAGCCCTAGGAATTGATAGGATACCAATCGACATACTTCAACAGATGATGCCCTGGAAGAGCTAAGAAATCGGGAGGACAATTACCTGGTCTACAGACTGGAAGAGATCCGACAGGGTGTGAAAATTATCAAACAATATCACTAATATCACACGCTAGCAAAATACAGCTGAAGATGATCCAGAAACGACTGGAACAATACATTGACAGAGGACTACTAGAAATACAAGCTGGGTTTAGAAGAGGTCATGGCACTAGAGACATTACCACCCATGTCAGATGGATCTTGGCAGAAAGCAAAGAGTAGTTGAGCAATGTCTATCTGTGTTTTATTGACTATGCAAAGACATTTGATAGTGTGGACCACAACAAATTGTGGCTAACGTTGAGGAAAATGGGAATCCCAGAACACTTGACTGTGCTTATGGAAATTTACACTTAGACCAAGAAGCAGTCCTCAGAACAAAGCAAGGAAACACTGCATGGTTCAAAATCAGCAAAGGTGTGACAGAGAGGTGCAACTTGTCTCCATACTTTTTCAATTTACATGCAAAACAGATCATCTGGGAGGCTGGGCTTTCTGAGGAAGAATGTGGTACCAGGATTGGAGGAAGACTCATCAACAACCCACATCATGCAGATGACAAAACGTTGCTGGCTGAAACTGAGGAGGACCTGAAGAGCTTGTGGCAGAAAGTCAAGGACTGCAGTCTTCAATATGGATTGAAGCTCAACATCAAGAAGACAAAGATTCTTACCACTAGGCCCACTGGCAGCACCATGACAGATGGAGAAAAGATTGAGGTTGTTAACAATTACAGCTTGCTCAGCTCCATGATCAACACTTTTGGCACGAGCAGTCAGAAAATCAAAAGATGAATTGCACTGGGAAAATCTGCTGTCAGGAACCTCTCTAGAGTGCTGAAAAGCAACAATATCAATCTAGAGACTAGGGTATGCCTAATCCAGGTCATAGCATTTGCAATTACTTGCTATGCATCAGAAAGCCGGACAATGACTAACGATGACAGAAGAACTTAAGCCTTCAAGTTGTGGTGCTGGAGAAGAGTCTTGAACATACCATGGACTGACAAGAAAACACATATGTCTGTCTTGGAGAGAGTGAAACCAAGTTTCTCCTTGAAGACCAAGAAGCTCCGTCTCACATACTTTGGGCATGTGGTCAGAATGGATCAGTCCTTGGAGAAAGACATTCTTAGTCAGGTGGACAGACAGCACAGTAGAAGAAGACCCTGGATGAGATGAATTTATATAGTGACTGGGGCAATAGGGGCTGGTGTGTCAGAATCAGTGAGACTGGCTCAGGACAGGAAAGGGTTCAGAGCTGCTGTACAAAGGGTCGCAGCAGGCAACTCAACAGCACATAACAACAACAACAAAATGTGTTTGTTAGCCATTGGTGGGGCCTATCCTTTACCTGGTATTTGGGAAATGAGGGTGGCAAAGGCATGTGAATTCATGTGAATTGTATGAACACAGACATTCACACACCTGGGGTTCAGTTATGATGTGGGGTACTCTCTGAGAGATTCCAGTTAAGAGCTTCTGCCCAGAATCATTATGCAGATAAACTCCTTGGAGTAAAGTGTCCAAAATATACTAGCTATTCATTCATGAATTCCTTGCCTCTGAGTTCATAAGGAAGAGAAAATACTCCATTTAGTCCTCAGGACAGCCCTATGAGGAGGTACTATTATAATACCCATTTTACAGATGAAGAAGGCGAGGCCCACAGCAGTTAGGTAATTTGCCTAGGCTTCCACACGCAGAAAGTAGCAGGACCATATCTCAATTTTCCCATCCCCCCACCTCACATCCCTCAATTTTGCCTTATGTCTTTTCATTTGTATGTTTTCTGCTTAGAACGAGCTTAGGCCCATTGCCATTGCGGTGATTCCAAGCCACAGCAACCCTGCCCTGTAGGGGTTCCATGGCTGTAAATCTTTATGGAAACAGATTCCACATCCGTGGCCGGGAGGTTCACACACCAGTCCTTCATTCTGCAGCCAAGGGCTTCATCACTGGGTTGGCAGGTACACACACTATGGAACCCTGGTGACTCAAATGGCTAAGTGCTTGGCTGCTAACTAAAGGGTTGGAGGTTTGAACCCACCAGTAGCTCCACAGGAAAAACTCTGGCATCTGTTTCCACAAGGGTTACAGCCAACAAAACTTTATTGCGTCTTTCAACTCTTACCACACAGGGTTGGTGTGAGATGATCTCAACTCAGTGGCACCAAACAAGTCCACATGCTGCTCTGTGAGTTCTGTAAGCCATTCCAAGATATTATTGAGTGCACAGAGGAAGAAGTCCACAGGTCCTAAACGTGGGTGCTCTGTGAACTCCTGGGCTTGTGAGTAGTATCTGGGAAGGGGGTATAGAAAAACCTCAGGTTCAGGGATAGGTGGCCTAAAGCGCTGGGAGTTGTGTGGCCTTGTGGCCAACACTCGACCCAGCCCGGGTGGCTGGAGATGGGATAGCACCCCCAGTGTGGCTGACAATGGGACAGTCAGTGGTGAGGGCAGGAGGTGCCTCCGTGCCCCTTACTTGCCACTTATCTTGTTCTTACCCCTTTTATCTGAATGCTGGTAAACCAGAACATTAATTATAAAAAGTCTTTTTTATTAAAATGACCATTAATAATAAGCCTTGGTCAAACTAAAAATTGTCACTAGCTACCTTCCCCTACCGTCCGGATTTGATGAAAACTAAATGCTGCCTTGCCTCTAGAAAGTGATTAATTGGACTTTCATAAGCAAAAGACTCCTGTTCTCCTCAGTATATGAGATCTCATCCACCTTGACAAGCCACCCGATTAGTTCTATGTCCAAATTTATGCTTCTGATCAAGTCCGAATATAAAAATAACCAATTTGGCAAAACCAGTTGTTATGTTTCCTAGTGCAACTGTAACAAGATGATTGGTTTATCTCTCCCCAATCTCAAAACTGGAGGATGAGTCAACCGTGAATTGAAGATACTGAGAGGGAGGGGAGTGAAGAAGGATATGTCAGGGGATGGTTTCTAAAGAGCATTTAAGTGACCAAAGCAAACCCTCGAAGCTAAGAGGGAGTGCAAAGTGCTATGGACATGTTTACTCTGTATAATAAAACATTTAGAGATGACTTAAAGTGTATAGAAGAACATGCATAGAATATAAATTCTAAGGCACAAGAGAAGACAAATTGTTTATAGAGACACTATGGGTCGCAACTGACTCGATGGCACATATAAACAAAATGACACTCTATATAAAGGACTCGAGTATCCTCTGATTCTGATATCCATGGGTGTCCCTGGAACCAATGCCCTGTGGATACTGAGGGGTGACTATACCACAAACTGAGTGACTTAAAGCAACAGAAATGTATTATATTCCTAGATGTTCAAAAAGTCACTGCTGCATAGGAACCAGCTCGTAGTTGATGTTCCATTGGGTTTCCAAGCTACATGGGAGGAGACTGCCCATCTTTCTCCCTCAGAGCCACAGTGGGTTTGAACCACCAGACAAGCTTCCTGTAAAAGCTGAAATCAAGGTGTTGGAAAGAATTACACTCTCGCTAAAGCCTCTAGAGGAGGAACCTTTTCTGCCTCTTCCAGGTTACTGATGTTTACCAGCAATCCTTGGTTTATAGAAACACCACTCTAATGTCCATGTCTGTCTTCACATAGCTGCCTTCTCCCCCTTGTATCTCCTCTTTCACAAGGACACCACTTACACTGGATTAGACAGAATCTTCAAGACCCTATATCCAACCATGGTCACACCACAGACGGGTGTCAGCGTTTAGAGAGACACAATCCAATGGATCAAACCAGTATACCCAAACCTACACCACTGCCATCAAGTTGATTCAGTTCATGGTGATGTTCTCAGGCTGTACATCTTAAAGGAAGGAGATAGACTCATCTTTCTTCTGAGTGCCTCTTGGGTTTGAACTCCTGGCCTACTGTAGGTTAGCCGTCCAGCACAACTTATCATGCCATCAGGACTCCTTTCACATCAGCATAGAATGTGATTTAAAAGTTCTAATCTGCAAATGCCTTCTACAACTTGCGGAAAAGTTACAAAACGAGAAGCCACGTCATGTTTCTTAGTGAATGAAGATGGAGCCGACATGGAGGGGACACCGAATTTCTACCACGTCATGTTTCTTAGTGAATGAAGATGAAGCTGATACGGAGGGGGCACCGAATTTCTAACCCCAGCTCTATTTCCTTCAACAGCTGCTGCTGTAAGTGGATTGATTATGCTCATTTAGACGGTGATTACATTAGCTTAATGATTCATCTGGCTGCCCCTGAGGCCCCTCCTTTTGCAGGAAGTACCTGTGTGCGATCTATCATCAACATCAGGAATGAGGCATGGCCCTTCAGCTTCACTTTCCAGCTCATGCTGGGGTAATATTTCTGGCGTCTATTTCAGAGACCGCCCCAAATCAAGCTGGTATTGGAAAACAACAATCTATTTCCAGGTTCCCTCTGAAACCTGAGTAATCTAGTTTGTTGAAATTACCTCCCTTGAGCCAAATGCTAGAATTCTAGGAACAATTCAGTGGCCACCCTTCTTCTCTAGGGCAACTGTGTAGATGAAGAGGAAGAGCCCAGGAGACCAGCTGAGGACCCTGGGTTCCTCTAGGGCTCCATCCTCAGGATGAAAAGCTCTGCCTGCCCATCTCATCTGGAGGACTCAACACAGCACATCTCATAAGCCTTGATGGACATCTCCAGACCTTTTTAGGCATTTTGAAAATATAGCCATGGAGGACAGCCCAATTTTCTCCCCTTTCTGTCCTCCCTGATGAGTGGTTCTCTTGTCCCCATGCACACTTGCTCAAAGGTGCAGGACACGCTTAAATGGAAGGAAGAAGGATGCAATGTGGTCCCAGTCCTGGGAGGACGAGTTGATGCATGTTGTTTATAAGTTTGCTCGAGTGTAACCAAGGGAGCTGGGGTGGCATAATCCATAGGGCGCTGTGCTGCCAAGCCAAAGGACAACCCTTCAACAGTTCAAATCCACCAGCAGCTCTGCTGGAGAAAGACAGGCAATCTTCTCCTCTGTAATTTATAGCTTTGGAAGCATGCTGAAGGCTCAGAAGAGTCAGTTCCAACTCTATGGCAATGAGTTCAAGTTCAAAAGTAACCAAGGCTTTGTTGTTAGCTGTTCTTAAGTTAGCCCAGTTCATGGCAACCCCCCTGCACAACAGAACAGAGCACTGGCTGGCCCTGGGCCACGCCCACTATCACTGCTGACTGGACAGTTGCAGTCCATAAGGTTTTCACTAGCTGATACTGTCAAGTCTTCCTTGCAAGTCTGTCTTAGTCCGGAAGCTCTGCTGAAACCAGTTTGGCATGTCAGCACACACAAACTCCACACAAACCAGATGGGTAGTGGCTGGTTGGGCCAGGAACTTAATCTGGGTTCCCATCTAGAAAGATTTCTCCTCAAGGAAATGAACAAAACAAAGCTTTTGTCCAGCAAATTTGGCCCAGTTATATGGATATATAACTATATAACCCCAGGAATATCCACTCAAACCTCCTATGTCCCTTTGGACTTTCTCCTAAATGAACATTGCACGTACAGCAAAAGACTTCTCATGCCTTTTCTTCCTACTCTCAACATTTTAAGGCGGGACATCTTGCTCATATGAACAACAAGAACAAAGAAGGGGTTGGAAGTGGACAGGAGCAATTGTACCAGATTCTGTTTCTTGCAGGAGGGCCACTGGAGGATTTTTCTCTCTCTTTCTCTCTCTCACACATACACAACACACACATGCATACACAAGCAGGCACACATGACATATATGCAAAGATACATGTGACCCCATGCAAAGATACAAATATATCCTCACAGAGGCCGGGATACACTTTAAGACACACATACTCACAGGTAAATAACATAGGCACACACATTCACACAGCAGAAACATATATATATTCAGACACACATACAGAGAGACAAAATACTTAAGAGAAAAATACCTACAGATACATATTTTTGATAGCATAGGCACACAAAGACGTATACACTCACACTCAAAGATAGGAACACATGTACACCCAGAGAACAGGTACTGATATACCTTTAAATACACACACATACTAAAGAGATGCACAGACGCATACTCACAGATGTGCATAAACACCCATTCACACTCTCTCTCTCTCTCTCTCTCTCACACACACACACACACACACACACACACACACAGAGAGAGAGAGAGGCTGCAGTTAGCATATGGCTCCTTTCTGTAAAAAAGAAAGAGGTGTCTCATTGGATGAGATAAAAATGTGGAACAAAACAGTCCAGACTTATTGGACCAGCTGAGATTACAAAACTGCCTGAGACTATTACTCTGAGATACTCTAACCCTTGATGCCAAACTATCCCGAGGTCATCTTTCAGCAAAATATCAGATGGCTTATAATGTGAGTACCACGTTCCTTTAAAACGTCATCTGTGTGAGACCAACCTGTGCACAATTACCTATAAAGTACAGCTGAGAAGGCAAGGGTGCAGGGAAAAATCAAACACATGTAGATATGCTGTGGAAAATGTAATCAACATAACTTATGAACAAATTGCTAAAGGAGAACATAATTTGCTCTGTAAACTTTCACTGAAAACACAAGAAAATATTATTTTTTAAAAATCCAGGAGTGAACCTCTGGTGGGGGTGGCCTTTCTGGAGTGAGCACATCTTGGAGATGTGTTCTGCCCATTGCACCACCACACAACAGAGCCTTACCTCTACTTCCTTTTGTGGACTCAGAAGGGCTGGCCTAGGTGATTGTGGGTCTAAGGAGACCATCACAAGGTAAATATGGGTTTTCCATACCACCCCACATAAGAAGGGCTCTTCTGAGTGCTACAGTGAGTTACCTGTTGGGGTAGGTGATGTTGCAGGGCACCTTGCCTGTGTAATTCTCATTAAGCCAGCGATTCGCCAGCGCCTGCTGAATGTTTGGCCTCTTCACAGGGTCCGGTTCCAGCAGAGAGCGCAGGAAGGTGATGGCTCCTGTGAAGACAATCGGCAGAGAGCAGCCCCACGTTATCATCTCAACACACAGCACGCGTGCAGGTTCCTCCCAACCACGGCCAGGCCAGCTCTTCTCTGGGGCCTCAGAAAGGGAGATGATGCTCTAGTCACAGGCTTGAAAGGAATAAGCAATAAACAAACACACTCTATCAGGCATAGGGATTGAGTATTCAGAAAGCAATCAGAAGGGTGAAAAACCCAAAGCCACTGTCAAGTTGATTTCAAGAGTAAAACGGCCACACAGGGTTAAGCCTATATACCTTTACACAAACAGATGGTATACTTCTCTCTTGAAGTGGCTAAAGAAGTCAAACCACTGACCTTTCATCTATCGCCAAATTCCTTAACCACCACCTCACCACGGCTACTCCAAGGCTCCTTAAACCTCACGTGTTGCCTTCAAGTCTGAACTGGCTCATAGCTGATGTTGTTAACTTCCAAAGCTGTAAACCACACAGGAGGAGCCTGCCCGCCTTTCCCCTGAAGCGGCTCTGAGGGAGTCAGGCTTGAACCACCAGAGAGGCCCAGCCTCTGGAGCAGCAGCTCAACTTCCAGTGGATAAGGTCACCAGAGCTCCCTTCTGGGCTCCCTGGAAGGTTAAAAACCAAACCCAAATCCACTGTTGTCTGGTTGATTCTGACTCATAATGACGTGGTCAGACTGAGTAGAACTGTGATCCTTGTTTTTGTTGTGTTTCTGGAGTAGGAACTCATAGCTGACCCTCCAGTAGATTTTCAGAGGCAGTAAATTGCATGGGAAGCAAGTACTATCTTTTTCCGGGAGAGCAAGTGGTGGATTTGCATAGGCAGCACAGATCCTCATCACTTCTAATGCTGTAGCTCTTTCCAGAAGCACACTTTTTTACAGTCAGAGTGACTGGTGGGTTTGAACTATCAACCTTTTGGTTAGGAGCCAAATGCCTTAACCGTAGTATGGTTAAAATTCCTTTAGAAAGGATCAAAGGACCTCTAAATAAAACCCTCAAAGAAAAGCCTACAGACCACATCAATCTGATCTACAAATGACCTGGGGACGGTGCAGGGCTGAACACAGGGTCGCCATGAGTCTAAGCCTCACTTTGGACCCCTTCTTGTAAAGCCGTCTTGTTGACTGTCCCACTTCTCTCCAGTCTTCACAGATTGATGATGTAGCACCAAGACTGAGTCTCAGGGCCACTTAACCAAGCAAACCAGGACCCCGCGCACCCAAGAAGCCAGAAGTTTCCACCATGTGTCAGATCAACTCTGCAAAGTGAGTCAAGTTTTAAAATTATAGTTCATGCATGAAATCCCTGCAAGGGCTACACTGTCAACCCACATCTGCCTGATGGACCCCTTCCTTTTCTGCTGATCCTTCAAGCCCTGGGGCCATTCTGGTGGAAAGCCAACAATGAAGTGTGCCCTTACGGGGCTTCTCAGTGATCACGTGAGTTATGCTCAGCATGGAGTGCAAGAAAAGGCAATGGTAAACTGACAAAAAAAAAAATACAAAAGTCCTACAACTGCTTTCCCTCTCATCTCCAGTAAAGCAATCTGTCAAATGTCCTAGTTCTTCCTTCATTTAGCAAAACGTGACTAAGTCCTTGTCTGTCCAAACACTCTGAGTATATGCATTTTTAAAAATTTTATTTTATGTTGGCTTGCTTACAAAGTTCAAATACATTATGTTTCACTCTATTCTTCATTCACACAATGTTTCATACAATCATTTCCATATTTTATAAAATTAATCAAAATTGGACCATGCTTCTCTTTACCCTTTGTCTTTTCAGGTCCCCGCTAGATCCTTCTCATTTCTTTCACCCTCTCCCTCCACCCACCAACTATGCAACCCTGTGGTTTTGCCCTTACCCATCCTCACTCCTCTGTTCCCACCCCTTCCCCTATTGGGTCCCCATACATGTTTTACTAGCTATCCTTCTATTTTTACATTAACTGTCTTATGTTGTATTTGTTGTTAAGAGACTGAGTTAATTCACTCAGCCTAATGTTCTCCACTTTCTCCCAAGTTATGTGGTATTTTTCAAAGTTGTTGCTCAAAAATACAGCAACAACTTTGAAAACTACTACAGAGTCCGGAATGAGGGTTGCAGAGTGGAGTACACTTGGGGTGGGAGTGGGGAGGTGCGGCGGGGGGGGGGGGATTGTGTACCAATGAAGGAGTTTTTCTTTTGCTTTTCAAGGAGAGGAGCGAACTGGGGGTGGGGGTGGGGGTGAGTGGGTGGGGAGAAAAGTGCAACGATGAATGAATGGAATTCCAAAATCTCTATAGATGTTCATTGAAATTAATAATAATTAAAAAAATACAGTGCACAAAAATCACTGAGATACCATTTTATCCCAGTAGCAGTGGCAAAGTTCAGCAGAGCAGCAAGCAATAAATGTTGGAGAGGATGTGGAGAGGTGGGAACTCTCATTCACTGTTGGTGGGATTGTAAAATAGTACACTCTGGAAGGCAGTTTGGCGCTTCCTCAAAGAGTTGACCAAAGAAACTTCCTATCACCCAGTTATTCCACTACTAGGAATATACCCCAAGGAAATTAGAACTGAGACACAAATGGAGATTTGTACACCGGCGTTCACTGTAGTGTTATTCACCATCACAAGAACATGGAAACAGTCCAGCCATGAATGAATGGATTGAGAAATTATGGTACATTCACACAATGGAGTATATGCATCTTTTAAGATTTTTGTCTTATTTTCCTGATGCCACTGTAACAAAATAAATTCCATAAGTGGATGGCTTTGAAGAACAGCATTTACTTCCTCACACTTCAGGAGGCTAAAATTTGGAATTCAAGGTGTGGCTGCAGGGGGAGGCCATCTGTGTGCATTTCAACTTCTAGAAGCTACTGACAACCAATCTCTGGTGTTCTGGGGCTTGTGGATATAGCTATGTGTTTTTCTCTCTATGTGATTCTTTTCCCCTTGTGTGTGTCTCTGTAGATATTCTATTTTCTTTTCTTTTCCCTTCCCTTCCCTTCCTTTCTTTTCTTTTAATTTAAACCTGCAAATCATTCCAGGAATTCTGCTGCTTGGAGGAGAGGTGACCTAGTATAGTCTTAATGCATATAGAAACCCTCAGTTTGGCCCTATGATAACCCACTCAACTGACTGGTCATTGGTAGGGTCATGTCACTGGCAAAATGAGCTCACAGCTTACTCTGTTTTTTTTAATGAGACATCACTGAGAAGTGATTAGGTGTAGGATCCACCCTACCTGATTATGCCCTCATTAGCATAACAGAAAAAAACTTATTTCCAAATGGGATCCTGTTTATAGGTACAAGGGTAAGGATTTCCATATAACTGGAGGAAGGGTGTAGGAAGGAGGGCACAGTTCAATCCATGAAAGATTATTTAACAGTGAAGCCAACTGCATAACATAGAAAAAAAATGTTACCATGTGAGCAAAGGTCACAATTTATGAAATTACTCAGTATGAAAGCATGCTTGCACATATATGGACAAAGAATAACAGGGATTTGTACCAAAAGGAAGGCTATCTACCTTTCTAAAAATCTGCGCTAATAAGGGATATTTCCTCATTCTACATTCCCAAGTTGATGGAGCACTGCCATAATGATAAGAAATATTCTTTTATGCAGCTTTGTACATAATATACATTTCTAACTTACCAAAGAATAAACCCTAGAAAAAGAATCTTAATTCTCTTCAGCTCCAAACTTTTCTATCTTCCTCTCAAGCTATTTTTTCCTTTTTCTAAGAGAGCTCTGGTGGCACAGTCAGTCAGGAGTTGCACTGCTGACCCAAACGCGTCACCTTTTTACAGTCTGAACAAGCCAGCAGCTCCACAGAAAATGGACAATCTCCTCTCCTGGCGTTTGCAGCCTCATAAAGTCAGTTATGAGTTGGTTCTTAACACTGGCAACGAGTTGAGCTATTGTGAGGAAAGGTCTCGATTTCTCATAGAGACTTTACAGTTGGTCTCCAAAAAACGGTGGGTCCTTTCTGTTACCAATATTTTGCAGGGAAGAGAACTGCCATCAGAAGAGGTGCCAGCTGGGACGCTGGAATCAACTCAAGAGAAATGGGCCTTGCTAGTAATGCCATCAACTCTCTCCTCTAGGATGAGTTCCCACATAGCTGATGAAGTCACCAAATGATCTTTCTCTTTTAAGAAAGTTATGTTTATTGCAGTTTTGTTCAAAATAGCAAGGAGTTGGAAACAACCTAAGTGCCCATCAACAAACGAATGGCTAGAGAAGCTGTGGTATATTCGCACAATGGAATACTATGCTGCAT